CAAGCTAACCAACTCGCGAATCTTGTACGTCTTGGAATTCACCGCGTACAGGTTAATCACGTCGTCCAAGCTCTGCGCCTTGCCGCCGCCCATCATGGAGGATCCTCCCTGTTTGAGAGGTGTCAGAGTTTGAGTCTACAGGGACAAAGGTTTGAATTGAGATTGATGTCTGTGGCTTACCGCAATAACTTGTTGGCGATTGGCAAAATCTTGAAGCTGCCAGATGGCCCAAGTCCGATCAATCATGGCGTGGTGGAGCCCTGCAGGAAACATAATGTTGGTCAGATACGGTGTGTCTCCACGGACAAGCGCAAAGGAGAATGAGAGAACACTCACAAAAAGCCGGGTCCCCAGGTGAAATGTAAAAGTCGCCGCCAGGGTCACCATTAATGGTAAAGTGGCCGGCAACGTGGACATTGATGGGCGCGGTGCTCTGCATGGTGTTTTGGAAAGTGCCAATGGCCGTGCTACCGGTGATGAGCTTGACAATGTCCTCAGTGCGCGAGTACTGCGACGACAGCTTGTTGCTTATGTCGCGCCGGAGGCAGCGGGGGTTGTAGCCCATGCCGTCGGCCCTCGAGTTCTTGGTGGGCGCGGGCGATATGGCCGGGCTCATGGGCCTTGGTATTGGCTTGCATATTAACAATGATGGCTCCGACTATGATACAATTGAACTTACCCTAAGTTAACAGTCATGCTTGTAGCTGGTCAGCGATGTGAACACTGTCAACCAAAGAATAGAAACTCACTTCTTGAAAGGGCCAGATGTAATACAGCCACCGCCATTGCCAGTCACAATCTGACCCGTGTGTGAGGTTTTCTCTCCGTTTCCACTCATACTCAGCGCAGAACCGTCAAAGATTGGCGATGACTCGGGGTCAGCAGCCCAACGTCCCCAGTTCCAGTACTACGACAAGATCAATACGAATTGTACAAATAGCACTTGTTCTGATGCAAGGACCTCACCGGCTGGGTTCCATTGTAGCCACACTCATTCTTTAGCGCCTGCTCATACGACCAAGTATAGTATCGATGCCATGAGAGGAAGCTACCCTTTAAGTAACGTCAGTCATGACGCGTGAGAATAAAACAGATAGAAATATCAATCTGTCCTTACTGTACCATGTATACTGAGAGTCTGATTCATATGAACCGCCACAAAGTCATCGTAACGAGTCTTGGCTCCGGGGTACTGCGTCTGGTCCAGTTGCGACGGCTTCTTGGTCAGGCATAGTACCGCGTTGATGTAGCTGGTCTTTTCAGTGTCGGTGAGATCTCCCCTTGAAGTGCACCGAGTTAGCAAAATAAATCCGCAGTATCATAGCTTCAAGTATTTGGAAAGAAAAGAAGAAGCATAAGCCTTACCACTCCTTGCGAATCTGCAGCTTGTCCTTTGAGCAAGTTGTCGACTTTGCGAGTTGAGCATCAAGTGATGGCTGCCCCTTTGTCCAGAGATCCAACACAGCATCCGCGCTGACGAAGCTGGAGAGCAGCAGAAGCTGCAGGGCAACAAGTGCGATGCTGGCAAGACGAGACATGGCTGGAAACGTTTACTGCCCACTTGATCGTGTTGGTTGAGTTTGGTGAGCAGACCAAACAGTTGGCATAAGTTCAACCAGTCTTGGCTCCACTTATAGAGAACACAATACTGAATACAGAGGAGTGGCGCAGCATAATGTCAAGGCATGCTGGTTTCTTTGTGGCAAATTAGAGGCATGGTTTGTCTCCATTGGCCAGGCCGAGTATCTATGTGTCAACTCGAATATCCAATCTCTAGGCGAGGTTGGCCGCATAGGGAGCTTGCAGCCAAACCCAGTTGTTTGTCACGGCTAAAGTCTATAGACGAGCAAAAGTGTTCTGGGCATTTGGGGTCGGAATGATAGAAGTCATCTCGGAGCCATGTTTTCCACAATACGTCCCGTGGCACAGTCATAATTACCCGGCTTACTTGTCAAATGAGGCGTACGTAGATGGGCCAGGAATGCCTGCTCCAATAATACTCTTGAAAGCAAACAAGGCGTTACGTGACATGAGACCCCTGGTCCCTCACCGTCTTCCTGCACTGGATACGACTATATGAATTCCATCTTCTGACTGAAGATTTTAAATTTGCCAAGACTACAATTCATGTTCGGCAGGTTCAATCCATCATTTCGAAACATACGAACCCTCCGCACTATACATACCAAAATATCGATTGGTTCGAAGTAGCGGTGGCGCGATGAGTGAGATTGATGGCGAAAGTTGCCATGCTTTTTACACAACTTGCCGTCCCAAGCACTCGGCAGTCAATGAGTCTCACGGCAACTCAATTTCACTTTACTTTGTATGCTGCACGAATAACGATCGTTAATCGATCTTGACCGTACTATTTTTTCTGCGAAAATATTTGTTCTGGCCGTAATAAAGCAATATTTTAAAGTTTTGCATAACTTATGACAGAATTGTGTGAGTTGGCGCTGTGAGAATTATCGATGGAAACAAATTGAAGCTATTGCCGTGTTTGTGTGAAGATAAAATTTTGTGAATCATATCCCAGAGTTATAGTTTTAGTACGTATTTCTCATGATAACTGCAAACATGTTCTCCATCAAAAATGAGAAATCTCCATCCCTCTTCAGAAGTAATAGTAAACAGCGAGCCAGCTCAGCCCATCCGATGTCTCATGTACTCTCTCAACCATGCGTCGGCGGCGGAGTCGCCACCACCATCATATTGAACTTGGGATTATTATACCCGCCGCCCTCCTTCCAGGTACTAGCATAGGGGGCATAGTAATCCCAATTAGAAGAAGTGTTGATACCCATCTCAGCCCAGACAAACAGACCCCCAGCAACACCGCTGCCGAGCATGGCATAGTTGGGAAAGGGATCATAGTTGGGGCTGGCGGCGTAGCCCGTGAAGCCGTCGGCGGCGTTGCTGGTGCGCGCGATGCGGTTGGTGCTGTAAGGGCTGGTGGCCTCGATGGTGTCGATGAGGCTCTGGTCAAAGAAGAGCTGGCTCAGGTGCGCCACCTGGCCGCCCGTGTAGGTGCCGTTGGCCAGCACCTGGGAGCCTACGTGCGCGATGATGTGCTCGTGCGTCGCGCGCCCGGAGTAGTGGCCTGGGAAGAGCGTGTCGAAATTCACGACGCCGTCCTTGTCCGTGGGCTGCACGCCGCGGAGGTACGTCGTGCCCAGGCCGCCCTCGCCGGCGGCGCTGACGCCGCTGTAGACGCCTTGGGAGTTGCTTGTAGGCGTTGTAGATTTAGTGGGTAATTCTCCAAAGAAAAGTGTGAATATACATGAAGAAAATCTCACCATGACCATATATCAATCAAGACATTGGCAGGTTTGCAGGTATTGACATCAATAAACTGCAGCTCCAAGTGCATGGGCACGCCCTTGACGTCCTCGACCACGTTGCTGCGGATCTGCTCCTGGTAGACAAAATAAGGGCCGTTGGCATTGTCGGGCGTCAGGACGCAGCTCGCGTTGGCGCCAAAGAGCTCGGAGATGGGCGTGTCCTTGGTGTACTTGAGGCTGCTCTTATCGTGGCTCTTGGCCATATACTGGCGCAGTGAAGCGGCATCGCGCCGATGGAGGAAGGATTCTGTTCTCCCAGTCAGTCTTTTGACACATTCCTCAGAGAAATGCTCACGAGGACAAGAGTCCAGCAGCGTAAGGGATAGGCACATACCGTCCTGCAGTCCCCTCTCCCGACGAAGACGCTCAAATGTCGCGGCTCTCCGCGCCACAGCGCGCTCCCGCCGCTCCTTGACGTCGGGTCGGCTCTGGCAAGCCTCGAGGGCCCGCGCGTTGACATCGGCCACGGCATGCGCATTGGCAAGCTCTTCCATGTGCGCCCGCTTGTTGAACGTCTCGCCCGGGTGGGCGGCCGTCAAGGGGCCTAGCGACAGCGCCGCGAATATGAGAGTATTCAGAAGCATTGTTGCTTGCTGGTATTGTTGTCTGCGGTTGATGATGTTAGTCAGGATCGCCGTTCCAATGAGTTTTTCTCTCTGTGTAAAGAATCGAGTCCTACAAACAAGCGCCTTGACTCCTTTCCTTTTTGTCTCTTGTGTGGCTAATGCGGGCTCATTATTTCCCAGTCTCGTCAAAAAGCCTTTCCATATGACCGTTCAGAGCGGGCATTCGGCATATACCATGTGGCATAGTACACTCCATCTCACAATTGTTTTTCTGGGGTACATATCTGGGGTACATAAAAGATTGCACCACCATCCTTGCTTCCGATGCGTTGGACATGTCGAATCTTGGAGCGGCGACTCTCTCTCCAGGTTTGATGCAGCATTACTTTATCCGGCTGACCCCATGAGGCGCCAAGACCATATAAATAAGATGAGAGAGAAAACGTGCTTCTCTGATATGAAGAGGCTAAATAAAGGGAGATGAAAGGGTCAGAAGAACAAAATCTTGGATGACCGAACCAAGTGATTCCAATAGTGATCAAAGACTGTAAATGCCGGCATCATATTCAAAGTCTTTGTCCATGGGTGTAACTCGATGAGAAGAGAGGCAACCCCAGCACGGCGACCTTCACATTTTTCCCGCATCGCAAGTAACCAGTGAAATCCTAACAAGGTTCGGTTGCTGCTGTTCCGCAAGAATATCAAAGATTCGAAACAAGATGGAGTTATTTGTATTCAACTTTCGAGTCATAGATGGACCAAAATTCGAGCGCAAGCTCCCTTGGTGCCAAAGTCGTGAGTGACCATGCTCGATGCCACCAACGCTGGCCACCAATTTTGCGGTTCGAGGGAGTCTTTGGGACCAAGGATGACCCTCGGCAGAATTTTCTAATGCACTTGAGTAGTCAGGAAACCCCGAAATTTGTAAAAATAAAATCTTCAACTTTAAAATGTATTATTCACTAAATATGATCAGTACTCTTTGAGGTGCAGAATACTACTAGGTCGTGCTCTAGTAAGTGGGGTGCTAAGCTTTGACCCAAAAGTTAGTTAGCAAACATCATTTGGGATAAACTGCAACTTTCTCAACGCCCGCTTGGCATAGTGGTATTGCGTCGCACTTGTAACCCCAGTTGGTATATGCGACATGCGAAAGTCGGCGGTTCAATTCCGCCAGTGGGCATTCGTTTTGCTTTTTTAGATCTCAGAAAGGATATACATAGTTTTCTTTTTTTCTCACTTGTTCAAATCACAATTACATTAGATAATAACTATTTCCTAAGCAGTGTTTTTTTGGTTGGAAAAGCTTGATGCACTATTGCATTTGAGCCTGCATAAGAATATATTTTTATTGAAAGAGCATGCTCCTATAGTAGACACTCCTGACTCCGAATACAAACACAATTGGTATCGATGCAGCAACAAACAGTCTAAAAAATGCTACTGTGCACAACTACTCATCTCGAGTTTCATCTTCTTCGGCATCCCCCATGGGATCGTCTCGGTACTCGCCAGGACTTTCCGTCATTCCTTCGATATCGCTATCCGCAATAGCATATTCGTCGAGGGGCTCTTCGTCGTCCTCTTCCCCGGTAGCTTCCTCGTCTGTACCGATGCTACCTCTGAGAAGCAGGCTTTGGAGATCATCCTCGTCAATGAAATTATCAAGGCTGCCCTTTCTGATGTTCCTCGTCTCGCGACGTCCCCGCTCAATCTGTCTCTCTACCTTGAGTCTGTTGGCAATGAACTGCAACTTTGGAAATGCGCTCTGCTGCCCTTCGTGAATCATTCTGGCGAGACGGTCCGGATCAGGGTCCGATAGAATGCGGAGAATGTCACTGGGTTTCGACTTGGGCCAAATGGTAATAGTGCCGCCAAATTGTTGCAGCCACAACTGCGACCAATCTTGACCAAGTGGCCTCGGAAGTAGTTCAAGATGTTTAAGAACCTTGAGCCATTTGGTCAAGTCGAGTTTGATGTACTGTTCAGTAGCAGAACCCAAGTACCCGCCTCGCCAGCCGCGACCTTTGCGGTGCGTTACGGGTGAGCCGACAGTGCCCCTGGAAGAAAAGAAGAATAACGAAATGTGAGGATTGACTTGGCTGACAATGGTAAAGTTGACGTTGAAGTGCAGGTTCAGTGCCTTGATGGGAATGTCAGTTCGCAGGCTGCCGTCCTTCCATTTGTGTCCGAATGAGTAGGGACTAAGTGACCCATCCACGTTCTTCATCATGAGCACGACCGGGTTCAAAATGCCTGGTACGGCAGCCGAGGCCAAAACGGCGGACCAAATGACACAGTCGGGGCTAGTCAGGTAATTGCAAAGGATGGTAGGCGAGTGAGGATCAGCCGGCACACAAGAAACATTGAGAATGCGTCCCGTCCGTTCATATGCCTCTCTAAAGGTCATTGAACCATGGGCCCACCAAGCGCATTGCCGTGCCCAGTCAATAGAGTCGAAACGGGCTCCAGTCTTCCACCATCTCTTCAACCAAGTCGACATGGGCTCAGAGCAGGCCTTGATCTTTTCAGCTAGAGCCGGGACGAGGAGCTGCTGCAGCTCCTCGTCTGTACGCGTTGCCACCAGTGACGCAACCAGAGCACCGCCACTTGTGCCAGTAATGACCTCGGGTAAGAGATCTGCCTCTAACAATGCCTTGACAACACCAAAATGGTAATAAGCAAACGTTGCGCCGCCCGAGAGACACAGGGCCGTGCGACCATAGTTGGCATGGAGGTGCTTGAAAAGTGTCTGTTTTTGTTCAAGGGAAAGTTGGCCTGTTTCTACGAGAAGGCGTGTGCTTTTCTCCACTGTGCCCGTGTCAGCATAAAGATCTTGTTGTATGGAGGGAGTCAAACACATGAATCACCAAGACGACTTACCCTCCTCGACAAAGTTTTGTACCAGGTTCTTGGTACCAAAATACGTCTCACTATACAGCCTGGGGTTTTCGACGCCGACAAAGTTACTCTTGACACTGGCCTCGACCAATGTCTTCAATTCGTCAATGGCCCGTTTCCGTTCGTTGCTGCTTGCGGCATTGGTCGATGCAACGCCATCCGGGCCAGGCTCCTGGGTCTCGGCCTCTCGCCGGAGCTTTCTGATCTGCTCCCAGACGCGGCGAACAGTTTTGGAGTCGTAGTATGCATACTCATTTTCTTGTTTCCATTTATCGTTGCCCAGGTACTTGTCGAGTTCTTTGGCGGCGCTTGACCAGTCCTTGTAGTTGCTTGTGGCACGCAGGCTGCGGCGTAGTCGTTCTCTCTGACCCCGCCAAGCGACAAAGTACTCATAGCCCCAGACGTAGAGTCGTGTTATTAGATAGGCGATACCGAGACCGGCAATCCAGGCCAACGTGGCGATCAGGAACGGCCAGCGTAGCAAAGTGTACAGGTTGCCCTCTCGAGCCTCGTCGACACTGCGGCCGAGCGCCTTGCGCTTCCGGCGACGTCGCTTGCCGACTTTTTCATTGACGGGTGCCCAGTCGTTTTGTGCCGAGATGAGCAGGCTGCCCTGGCTGCCGTGGCGGTTGCGCTCGCTAATTCGAAGAGTCGCACTCCGACCATCGTTACCATTCCCATAACCGAGTCCGACTCCGCTCGCCTCGGCTGTGGGCACTGTCGGGGATGCCGGCGTGTCGAGATTAAAGTTGCTGCCACTCCGCAGCGAGGGACTCCGGATCGTCAAGCCATCATCGTTGGCTGGATTTATTGGATCGGGTGCAGCAAGCGCCTGGGCAAAGGACTCGAGGTCCTCGGGCCGCAGAAAGTCGACGTCGACGTCGGGCAGACGCGTGTGGTCGAAGGCCTCTGGAGGGAATCCATAGTCGTGGTATGGCTTTCCCAGGCCGAAAAAGGTGACGCGGCGGGCAGACTTGGTGGCTTCGGCCTCGGTGCCGTTTGCCCTCTTTTCACTCCTTGCGTCTTCAGTCGCCATGATCACTGAGGCAGTTATTGCAGAAGAGTCACTGCATAATGAGAAGGGCTCTTTTCAGTGGTGCCCCAAAGACCACAGTGGTGGAATAAAAGTATTAGAAGTGGTTTTGTGCTGTGTCGAGTTGTGTATCTGTAATATCGTAAGACATGTGTTACGAGAAGGCCGGTACTGCCCAGGGCTTCTTGTGGCAGCGCATGCAAATATTCGTGTTGTGCGCGTACCGAATCGCGTAGTTGGCCTCCTCACAAAATATTCGAGGTACTCGAGTTAGATATATGTGTGTACTGATGCCACGAACGTCTGTTATTCACGAGGTTCTGGACTCGTTCTCACCCGCAAGCCACCCGAGCTACCAGCTGTAATCACCGAAATGACGTCGCCGCTTTCCGGCGGGCTCTGATTTGGTTGGGGAAGCAGCTGGGAGTGGGGACAAGGGAGAGCCGAGCCTCAATCCAGCAGGTGGAGCCCCCTGAACCTTGGAAAGGGAAGAGCTGAACGCTGTCATTCTTGAGCCTTGCTACTTTTTCCTTTTTCTTCTAGAAACAAACTTATGTGCTGTTGATCGTGTCACTTCGAATTTGTGATTAATGGGTATTCCTCCATACTGATTTATATCATCTATTGGGTCGGCAGTGACTTGATTACGGAACAACATGCTAGGCGACTGAACGAATTCATGATTTCGTAGAAAACTCTACAGAAACCATAACTTACAAAAGAGAAAAAGCAATAACCTACATATTGAAATACTAACCATACAGTTGCGTAAAGAGTATTGACTTCCTTGGAGGTGTTTTGTCTTCGTGGAAAGTGCTATCGACAAAACCATACGGAGAGCAGCGGTGATCTGCAGGCCACTTACACAAAGCATAATGCAGGATCCCATACTTACACACGATTCCGTGTCCGTTCCGAAAATCACTCATGAAAACCTACAAGGCATGTATATCACGGCGGACCTTCTAACAGTTCAAAGATTGGCAACAATGGGTATAGCACTAGTAACAGCGAGCATAGTCAAAGCATTGTTGTGTAACAGACTCGATTGCTGTGGGAAACTGTCAAATGCCTCTATTGCCGTGGACTCCGAGGACTCCTGCTATAGAACCCAAGGAGTCCGTCGTTTAAAGATAACGAAATGATGAACAATGCAAAGCAGCAAGCTGTCATATAAAAAAGAACTCCAATCCCACTTGAACAAGCGTGCAGATCATCAGCATTATCACCTTGTACACCACCTTCCAGCATTGTACTTCTTCGTCATCGTTGTCGTCTTTCTCTCTTTCTTCTTTGCAAGCCCTAGTCTAGAACTATGTCTGATGTGGTGCCGTGGTTAAAGAGGCACCTCCGCTCTAAGTCGAGGCTTCTCAGTTTGCTGTCGCCTAGACGTATTGCGAGAGCCAGCGGATACCGTCACCGTAACCTGTGTTGCAAATTAGCGATGCGCTCATTCCCCGCAAAGTGGCTTGCTGGAGTATTTCGACTTACCCTGTCTCATGACCACCGAGCACATGAAGACCTCAATGGGCCGGATGCCCTCCAAAGGCACCTTGCCCTTACCCGTTGTCTGGTAGAGACCAAGCTCGTGACGCAGCTGCTCCTCGGAGATGGCGTCGGGGTGGTCAATCTTGTTGCCCAGGACGACAAACGGCACCTTCTGGAGCTCCTCCATGGACAGGAGGGCATCAAGCTCGGCCTTGGCCTCGGGGAAACGCTCGTGGTCCTTGGCATCGACGAGGAAGACAATACCGTTGACCTCGGGGAAGTAGTCCTTCCAAAGACGGCGGGCTATTGTGAACACCTGTTAGTCCTCCCATCATTTTCATCCTTTTGCGGGGATTGATTGCGAGATGCGTACCCTGCTGGTGACCACCAAGATCGAAGGTTGTGAATCGTACGTTGCCGATAGCGAGCTCCTCGGAAGCTGTGGTATGATTAGTATATGCCCACGTGCCCGACGTCGAGATGTAGGTAGGAAAAACATACTAGGGTGCAGAGTGGGCTGCAGGATGGCGACTCGGTCGTTCTGTAATGTCCATCATGTTAGCATTCTATTGTTGGACTCGTAGTGTGTCGCATTAATGTGGTGACCTCGAAGCCGTGACACTTGCTGGCCATCTAGACCCGGGTGAACATATCGTCGTACCTTCAGCATGTGCAAGAGTGTCGTCTTTCCAGCATTGTCGAGACCGAGGAAGAGGAGCTTGGCGTGCTTGTTCAGCAGGCCGAGCGACGAGAGGACATCA